GTTATAGTAATTAAACTAAACTAACTATTATCTCAGAGTGGGACGGAGAGGGTGCACAACTAGTGACTGTGAGATATTTCCACAATTTGGGCCAGGTCTCAATGTTTGCGCATCCTACGTGTATTGTGCATTAACGATCACTTTTGAGATGAAAGAAAACTATGATATGAAATGCGAGGATATGCATGTGAAACAGGAGGGGGTGATTTCGGTCTTGCAGCTGCTGCAGTGAGAAAGAAAGGGTGAAATTGACGAGTGACATCATTGGTAACCATGGCAACATGGGATTTTGTTACTCACCAGCATAAATTTCATGCAAATGAACACAAGGCAAAAGAAATATATCCAATTAGCATGATATTAACATATTTAACACTTTTTTTTTTTCACTGACAAATTTAACAATAAATTTTTTTGTTTTTGTCCAAAATTGTTATCAATATTATATTGCTGTGCTGGACAGACAAGGCAGGTATATTTTTGCCAAAGAATTGTAATTGATCGCGGTGTTAGTAGTATATAAATGTATATTGGTAGTGTTTCTAATTGCAGTACAGAATACAACAAACATTTTGCATATAAACATAAACATATACACACATTGTGCTGTTCAAAATAGTAGTATACAATGTAGTCACAGCCTTGGATAAAAGAAGAAAAAACACTAGAGGAAAACATCATAGAGATAGTTTACCTAAAATAAAAGATTTGTTAATAGAATGATATATGCAGTATTATTCAAACTGTGTAATTTACAGTTATAACATATAGCTGGTAGCAATCAGCAAAGTGAAATATACGTTGTAGATATCAGTCTATAGTGTGAATAGTAATGTGCCTAGGGAGTTAGAATAATTGCTATCATCCTAAAGGGTCTGGTGATAAAACTCTTGATCACAAGGACCTTGTTTGCACACCAAGCAGATATCGATTTCATACAAAAGCGATGGTGGTTCACGGCAAACCTACCTGCAGGGATATCCACTAATAATGTAGCTAGACTATGTCGAGCAGCCGACGGGCTAGGTGACGCCATACTGGGTACATCGCTGTAAGGTCTTGACGGTGATGTTATACTGCAATGTCTTACTGGTCCACTAGTTTCTACTTTGTCAGAAAATGCAAGATCAAATCGGCGTGCCCTCGGCACTTGATCAGAATGGCTTGAGGCATCAGTGCCAGATCTACCAGACAATAATATACTATAATGCCTAGTGTGTCCTGAAATTCCATCTTGACGGTCTGAAAATCCACGGTCAAATCGTCTAGGTTTTGGCAAAAATTGATATGTTTCTCTCATGAAAGTAGTTATTTCTAGTAACAGTTGAGCTGCTACCATTTTTAGCGCATGTGGACAACTGTTTCCACTCTCATTGACCGTTGCTAGTGAGACAAATAGAAGAATTAGTTAAAGAGAGTTGAACAATATCATTGTATATTACTTGCATGCATAGCCGTCAGAAATCCCTAATTTTCCACCAACCCAATACAAGGGCAATAAACAGGTGTCAAAAACTTGCTTTTCCCATTTTATCTCAAAACTTTTACTAAACTTGTTTTGTTGATAGTTGTGCTGAAACTTTATAAAGATGTTACAATAGAAACATAACACGTTAGGTCCTCCGTGCACTAAACATTCCAAATTAAAGAACCTGCAATATGCACAAACATGTGTTACACGTGTTGTAGACACTAATCCATTGTTTCATACTCAACAAACATGTAACTGATATAATAAAAACAGCTCTTAAAAATGTTTCCAATTCAAATTAATTCTTTGATGTAATCTATCGATGAACTCAAGGAGATCATTAAAAACAGTTTATCAGTTGCCATAACATCAGTACTTTACCTTCATCCAGGAAATCTTCTTCATCATCTTCTTGCCTGAGTTGTTTCTTAACAGCAGGATCTCTTATCAATGTTACCATGGAAACTGCCTCTTTGGCTTCTATCCTCTCTATCTCTTCAAGTCTGGCAGAAATAGCCTGTATAAAAAAATATGGATGAAATTTCCCTTGCTGAAAATCAGTCACTATGAGCATTATTACAAATGTACATGTACAAATATAATGACATTTACGTAATTATAAATTTCTTCGTCTGCTTTGTTTTAATAATATATTTAAAACTAAATGCAAACTATGCTCATGGCATCAACATCAACAATATTCACAGTATTTACAACATACACGTAAAGTGATATTTTGTATCCTTTAAAACAAAAATTTGAAAAAGTTACAAAACTGCCATTTGAATTATTCATAATAGGAAAGATGTCTACAATACCTCTCCCCATAGATAAAACATCCTGGCAGCATTCCGCTGCAATGTGATATGTCTTCTGTGACCTGAATATGGCCTGCTATGGCTACCTGCTCGCAGACGGAAATCCACTTTACAGTTTGAGCCTCGCATCCACTCAGGCCAATCCCCTTTGTTGCATCGATGGACAAAGAAAGCACACTCCATAAAAAGAGCCGCCCTAGATACTACTGGTGCTTCCTATAAAGCAGTATTTCGAAAATCACAGTTATTATGCAAATTAGAAGATTAGGGAGTATGGGTTTCAGCTAAAATCAGCTCTACAGATTTTCCCAAACCACCACGTACAAAGTTTCAAAAATATATGCACAGAAACAATGGAAAACAAAAGCATATTCAGAAGAATAATAGAAGACAATTATTATGCACAAATACAATGGAGGACAAAAGATTGATAATAAAAATCATAGATGTTGCTGACAGGGCCTGTAACTGGTTTAACTGGTTGCTAGGCAATTTCGTCCAAAGACAACACAAGGGGTGAATGTTAAACTCACTTACCAAGTCTAAAGCTGCAGCCAGGAGTTCTGGATCTGGTACTGTACCAGGATTACAGCAATCTAACATAAATGCAAAGCGCAACATTCCAGATTTTATGGCAGCCTTGTTCACAAGTTTCTTCTCACGAAAACGAATCGGCTCTGCATAATCTTGAAGATCATCGATAGAACTTCTGCGGCTAGAATCTGAAGACATTTGTTTAATAGTGATAATACATAATTTACTTTACTGGTATACAACATATTATGAATATTGTAATAAATATTGGTTTATTTTCAAATTAGTTGAAAAACAGTGGTCATTGTTTCATGTTTGATATTCGTCCTGTACAACACCTTTAAAATACAGTATGTAGATTGTTTGTTTACATACAATTGTGTATTCCATGATGAGCATTGCCCTTTAAAATAAATAATAAATTTATCAACAAGGGCAAAACGACATTAATTTCATACAAAGAACATCACACAACATACTGTGAAGTTTTTATTTGTCAAAAGGATTAAATTTATTTAGCATCTGGTGACACAAGGCCTGGAAGAAAACCTCAAGAAAATAAAGTTTGTTTTCAAGGCAACTTAAATATTAGTTTTATACATACCATTTTTCTCTTCATAACTGATATCTTTTCGGCCCCATTTTCTGAACTTCAGAAAAAGAGGATGTTCATCCATTCTTTTACTTTTTCTGTGTTGACTGAAGCCAGCACTCAGCGTTGACTCACCGGGTCGAATTAACACCTGGCGTGGAACAATGAGTTGGATTAATGTAGGTTTCAAAATTAAACATTGTAGATTGCACTGCAGGGACGTATGTTAGAGTGTTGTGTTTGTGATTTGAGTGTGAGTGATCTGACTGGATGTTACAGTGAGTGTAAATTATGGTGAGTTACAGTGATCTTATAGTGAGTTTACAGTGATCTTATAGTGAGTTGCCCAATGTAGAGAGAACTGAGTGCGAGTCAGTGAATTATCTGAGCTAGAGTTATTTACAGTGAGTTGCACAATGTAGAGTATAAGTTGTGATCTCATAGTGTAAGTTAAAGTGAGTGATCGAAGCATGAGTCAATTTGAGGGATTTGATTGTGAGTTACAGTGTGTGATCTGATGAGTTACAGTGAGTGTGAGTGAGTTACATTGAGTGAACTGAGTTGTTACAGTGAGTGAGCTGAGAACAATGATTTGACCATGCATTAATGCTCTGAACGTAAGTAAGTAACAGTGTTCGGGACGTGAGTTAAAGTGATCATGTTGTGAGTTACAGTGAGTGATCTGATGAGTTACAGTGAGTGATTTGAGTGCAACTCAGTAAGTGAACTAAGGTGTTAGAGTAAGTGTGAGTGTGAGTGAGTGAATAATCTGAGTAAGTTACAATGAGTGACTGATGAGTTAAGTGTGAGTCACTGAGAGAACTGAGTGTTAGTTACAGTGAGAGCTGAGAACAATGATTTGAGCATGCATTAGTAATCTGAGTGTGAGTTTCAGTGATTTGGTTGTGAGTTACAGTGATTTGGGTGTGAGTTACAATGATCTGGTTGTGAGTTACAGTGATCTGGATGTGAAAAATGCAGTGCGACAATTAGTCACTATATACACAAAAAGTAGATGTACTTACCAGATACCTACTTCTAATCATATAAAATTAAGAAACACATTCAGCTCAGGAATTTTTAAAATTCGTTCATCGTTCAAATCAAACCAAATTTCTTCCAAAATGACACATTTTTATTTTTTTGTACTGTTGCTGAATGTTTAGAAATCCCACCTTCCTGCTGGAACCTCTTCTTTCTGATGAGGCGTGTTGGTCATCACTCAACTCGCTGCCTTCTCGCATGGACTCATCATCTGCTCGTAAAGTTTTGTGTCTCCATGTGGTAACTGCGTGAGCTTACAAGAAACGCAGAAAATGCATTCGAGCTCTAGCCATCAATAATGTCATGCACATGCTACTACAGTAGTAGACAGTCTTCAGGGCATTCTAGGGATATCAGTCTATGGGGATAGACAGTCTAGAGGTGTAGGCAGTCTACAATGATAAAAGTCTTCAGGGGTATGGATCAACAGATATGACTTAACAAATAAAATGTTCTGACTAAGACCTTACTGTTGCACGATTTTTTTTCTCAATTTTCTATTCTTAAACAAAGCAAATCGCTAACAGATATAAAAAAAGTTTTTAATTTACTTCAGAGAAAATATGCCAAATAATAAGGTGCAAAATCAAATTATGATGCAACTTTTATTAATTTTAAGATCAGATGGACATCAATTTTTAATTAGCTACAGGTCTTAATCAAAAATTTTAAAAATATATGGAAAACAATAATTTTGTGAAAGATGATAATATTTGACAATGCATTCAAAAGGCTAAAACTGATACACTGGTAACAAACAGAATGGAATGGAACAATGGAATGCTAGCAATCACCACCATATTAAACTAAAAGATTATAGA